GAGAACACGCTGCAGTTTGTCATCTTACACTGACGAGGAGCGTAGCTCACATCTCACTGCCGTGGAGTCGATTTTCTGCACCATCATCTAGGCAGGCCATGAGGAGGAGGCAGAGGAGGAGAGAAAAAACAGAGAGGGTGGAATGCTCCACCTTATCCACTCCCACTCTTCCTCACACCTCAGACACGCACCTTCAGCATCCAGTCTCCATTTTAGGCTCAGATCAGTCTGTTTGTGGTAGAGGAGACTACTTTTTTTTTTTTTTTTTACATCCTCCACACTGATACCTTCGATTATCAGTCTGTCAATCAGCCCCCCAAAAAAAAAATCTATCCTCAGGATGAGAAGATGGTGGAAAATCTGAATAAGGTTATTTATTTTGTTAACAAAGACATGCTCCAATATTTAAATATAAAATCTGCAAATTTTATGATTTTATAAGCATCTGAATTTATCGGAATGTTTGTGTTTTTAACTCAAGTTGACTAAATTAAATGACTGAATGTGAGCCTCCATCTGCAGCCATTACTCTCTGCAAAACGAAGACATTAAATCTGAATAAACACAGAACGCTTTGTTCAAATGAATCCATCTTATCAGCAGAGGTTTTAAATCAAACATAAAGTCAATCTTACCTGTTAATCTAACTTTAACACATAATATGATATAAGACACTAAGTAGTTAAGGGTGTTTTTCTCAGAGCTAGGAATTACTGAGCGGGGTTTAGAAGCAGAGTAAACATTAAATAAAATATATTTGTAATGTTTGAGCATTTCAACATAAATCAGATGTGTTTTCTTGTTTTTTTGTAAAACATTTGCTCAATTGTTAAAAAATGGGCATATCAAAAAATATGGGAGGGGGGGTTGTCTTGTCAGTACTTATCAGTATCAATTGGCTTTAATGGTTTGCAATCTGTTTTTCTTTTTTTTATATTTTATATACTTTATATTTTATATAACTAAATTTCAGACAAAGAAGAATGGCGTCCCTTAATGCCCTTAAGGGGTTGAGGTTGTTAGAAATCAGATAAGGAAGGAAACACGTGCTTTGATGTGTTTATCATTGATCATATTGTAAGTCCTTCATTTTCAATTACAAAATGACTACCTTTTAAACAACCTGCAGCCCAGGTATTTCTATTTTATGTTATTGTTGTCAGATTTTGACCAATTAATAACTTAATTGGTAAAACAATGGAAATTAATATTGGCCATAAAAAGCCTGTTCAGTGCATCTTCACAAACCGATTGCTATATCTCTACCTTTCTGCAAAAATACTAAATCAGCTGCTTATTTAACTATCATCTCCTTACAGTTATTTTCAATGATATAATAATAATAATTTCATATAATTTGTTTTGATGACATTGTGTCAATGTTTGTTTTAAATATTTTGTCTTCCTTGAATTTAAATTTGACAAAAAAGTCTATTTAACTGGTCAAAATTAAAACACCAACTCTCAGCAGGTATTTGAATGCAATTTGTAGAATTAATTAAAGTCAGATTAAGGTAAAGGTTATTTTAGTCTTCTTTAATTTTCTGTTGGCTTTAAAACTAGTATGTCTTTTAAAGAACCTTAGGCCTAGTTTTCTTTTTTCCCCATTTTAGTTAGGTAAAAAAAAACAGAATTACTTGAAAATTTGCGATTAGCAGGTGTGAGATTAAGTAAAATCTAAACTCTGCATGTCTTTTTTCTTCTCTATGTGAGAAAAAAAAAGGCAAATGGGATTCCTGTTTAATACCTTCTGATATCTCTTTTGTAAAAAAAAAAATAGTTTTCTTTGTAAAGGTTTTGAATTATGTATTTTTCTTAAGGCTCTGAGTAAAGAAAATGCTTTAAGCAGAATCTAAAGGAAATTGCCTTAGTGATTAGAAAATGCACATATCATTTCAAACGTTTCTTGTTTATATTTTAAGATAGTATTTTCTAAGGTGCAAATTGTATGTGGATGCTGCTGTTAGGATCCCTATGCTTATATTAAAAAAATTATTTTAACAGTTTGTTTCTAATTAAATGCAATATTATCAGCACAGTAGAAATGTTGCAGTTTATGTAAAGGACTTCGATGATGAAATTTATCGCACATACTATTAGGGTAAATAATAAAATGATAGGATAAGGATTAAATGAACTCAGTTTGCAGGAGAACATGAAATAGAGAGCCCCTAACCAACCAATTACTGCATGTCTGGAAGGGATGGGAAGGGATTAAAATCAAATGCTTAGTTTATATCCATCCAACGAGAAACAAACCATCAATCTTGTTTTTTTTCTCCTATTTTTTAGTTTCATGCTGGAAAAAACGGACGAGCACAACTAAAAATGTCCTAATTACAGACATGGAGATGTGGAGGGGAGGGATGCGTGGATGTTTGTAAGTGTGAGTGCGTGCGTGATGGCGATGCAGCGTGGGCACAGAGCTGTTCTCCAGCTCCTCAGCAGGCAGGACACACCTTCTCCGGGCTGCAGCACCCTTCATTGCATTACATCATCAGAGACACCTCGAACCCACCCACGCGCCAAAGCGCACGCTTACAACATCTGCACACGCACGCACCCACGCTTCCACGCGCTAAACAGATAATTGCTCCCGCCATAATAATGACCGAACGTTTCCACAAATGACTGCAGGCGAGCAAAAAAACAATTTTCCACAAGCACGAGTTAAATCCACGCACACGTTCCTTCTCAACAACAGCAGCAGCAGAAAAAGCGACAGTTTATGTAACATCACACGTTTTTTTTTTGTTTTTTTAATTTTTAAAAGATTTAATTCGAATGCATTGCAATTACTTGATTAAAAACTGGGAAAAAAAAGAAAATACTACAATGCAATCAGAGTGGAACCGTTTCTGTGGATTTTTATTCAGATGAACACAGCGTGGAAAATATCCACTGTAGGCCCGCGCATTTTTCCACACTGAAATCTGAGACACTGAGGAGAAAGAAAAGATCATTCTCCAAAAAATCCTGCGTAGTATCAGTCTGTCCCCGCCCAGGAGGATTAGTGTTACCTTGAGAGCCCTTGGTTCTTTTTTTTTATTTTTTGCGGCTGATCTGTCAGAGCAGTTAATCAGCTGTCAGACATGGAAAAAATAAATACATTAAAAAGCCTGAATTGAACTAAAAAGTCCATGCTGTCCCTGAACACCCCCAACCTGACCATAATCCCAAATTCAGAAAAGCAGAGGAGAAACAGGGAAGGCGAAATTCCTGCTCAAGAAAAACTGTTTTAAAAAAAGAGACAAATCAATTTAAATCAGATATCTATTAGATTGATTTTATTTTGCATTTTTTGTCTAAAAAAATAGAAGATCATTCCATACTTCCCTCCCCCTGAGGGACTGTGTTTTTAAAACGTTTTAGTCCTTAATAGGCGAAGGAACATTTGGGCCTTTTGAAGATAAAGTACATACAAATGGACTAAAAATAAATAAATAAATACTGAGACACGGTTCACGCCCATTCTGAAGGCGAATTGGAAAGACGGACAAAAAAAAATCCTGATTAGGAATTCCCCCCATACACCCATCTTTGCATAAAACGCACAGGAATCATTTTTAATCCTATTAACTCTGCAGCGATGGAGAAGAGAAACGGAAAACCCGCCTTTTTTTTTTTTTTTTTTTTCGTAAATCTGAAGATGAAAACTCAACATCAGCCTGGATGTGGCTGTAAAGAGGCAGACTCCAGATTCAGGCCCGTTTATTTGCCTATTATTATTATTATTTGTTTTATTTCTCAGGCTTACTGCATGTAAGGCCTCATATTTGTCGGCAACAGAAAAGCCAAATATTCTGCTAATTAATGGGAAATTTTGCAATTTCCGTCGCAAAGAAGGTGACAAAGATGAAAGCTGCAGCCAAAACCTTCACATCTAATGAATTGAAGTAACAGGGGAAGGCGTCTGCGTAAAGGCGCAGCATGGGATGTAATCCAGGGGGAGCGTTTAAACGAACCCCTCTGCAGACGCCATTTGACCAACTGGGAACCCAAATCATCCCGATTCATCCGAACATCGTAGAGATTTCCTCCCTTAAATCGTTTGTCTGGTCACGAAAATGTTTTTTTTTAATTCTGTTCCACGAATCTGTGAATTTCATTGGTTAAAAATAACCCGTTTTGCTTATTTTTTTCCTTCACATTAATGGTAAAACATAAAGTGTCAAAATAAAAAAAAACGTTTTATCTATTTATTTATTCATGTATTTATTTATTTTTAGTTAACTGGTGTGATGAATGTGAAGAAGGAAACGAATTTCATTTATTTATTTTTTTTTTCCAAACTGGAGGTATGATGGAAGAATGCAACGGTCACTGCTGTCCATCACAGCGCAAACGCAAGGTCATGCACCAAAAAGAAGAAAAAAAAGAAAAGCTGGTCGAATTACACAAAAATATGCATCAATATTTAACGAGTCCACGAGGAACGTGCGTGACATTTCAACACGCGGCTGCAGCCGAGAACAATGTGAGAAAACAATGCGTGGAAACTGGACACCTGGCGAGCATATGATTTATTATTAATCAATTCTAAGGAAATCCGCCTTTCTATCTTTTTCGTTTTCAATACATTCATATTTCTAATAAAACAAACGTTTAAACATTTAGGGCTATAAGCCCTGCAATGTTTGCATTTTGTTAATTATCCAAAAAAAGAGATCTAGTTGCTCATTCATATTGCAACCATAAGGGCAGCGCAGGTCTGTAATTCTACTCTTGCCTGTCAAAAGGACATTAGAGGCCAAAATGGCAGAAATTCTCTATTTAAACCCCAAAATGTCGCCTTTCCTTTAAGGAGACCCGCAAACATCCTCCGAGTCTGCGCGTAAAAACTGGATAAAATGGATATAAACTCCAGTAAAAGTCCTGTAATGCACCTGTCCGTCAGGAGCTGAAACACAAGCCTTCCCTGCTTCCTCTCCTCCTCTACGTCCATTCCGAAGGCGGACACTACAGGAACAGGTTGAACTCACACAGACCGCGATACTGACCTCAGTTCAACAGACCCAAAGTATCCACCTGCTTAGATCCAGCTATCAAATGTACATGGAGCCACTTTTGTTCTTTTTTACGCTTGAAAAAACATCCAGGATCCAGTTTGAAGCAGCGCTTTTTTTTCCTTTATCGCTTCTCTCAGGTGCGTCCAGCATGGTGCATCATGCGCACAAAAGCCGCTATTTGCTCTGTGCCACTCGCGGCGGCTGCGAGCAAGAGGCGCGCACACGCAGACATGCAAGCGCGCCAAACAGGGTCCGCCCTCAGCTCAGCTCCAGCGCGCGCCCTTTAAAGGCACATGGAGAGTGCGCACTGACACGAAAGCACCTTTGGTTTTCATTTAGTTTCAGTTATGTTGGAAAAATTCTACAATCTGAGAGCGAATCATGTATTTAATATAGGACAGAGTGTGATATTGGAAAGAATCAATTTTGAAGGATATTCTCGATGTAAAAACATATGGATCCAATGAAGAGAAGACAAACATCCAGAGTGATCTGAGCGTGGGTCCCTAAACTAGACCCTTAACCCCACACCGCTCCCCCGGGCGCCGCACAATGGCTTCCCACTGCTCCCCATAGGGTTGTGTTAAATACAGAGAATTCATTTCGTTGCTCTGTACTTTTAACAGTGTAATGACAAAAAAAATGTTGGTGTTTTTCTGTTATTGTTATCGCTAGAATTGTGACAAATAAAGACACCTATTCATATAATTTGAAACTTATAACCACAAGCATCAGTTTATTGAAATTAAATGTAAACTATCATAAATAAGTAAATGAAAAAAACGGGGGTGCATAAATGCCAGCTGTTATTTTTATACATTGTTGTTTCCAAATGTCCCTCTTGTGCATTTTATATTTGGATTCTTCTACTCTTAGAACAGCCATTGTTCACCTTAATGGATTAGTTCAGAGTCAAAAAAAAAAAAAAGATCAGGAAAGACAATGGGAAGTAACTTGAATCACGGTTCAGTCACCACCTTTCTTGTATTGTGAGCATAGTGGTGTTTGTTATTTGGTGCTTTTGAGTCATACCTCTGTCCTGGAATTGGAGGTGGCGAAAGGTTAAAATTTGTTTTTGCTGAAAAGTAAAAGGGTTTATTTCAAAACAACTTTGTAAAAACACAGAACACAGTTTTTACATGTAGATCACAACCATTTTTAACAAGGAACTGCTGCAGTTAATTGCTGCCAGCCTCCTGACAGCTGTCATATTTAATTTTATCAGTTTAGGAGAAATCTCTTTTTTGTTGTTAATTTGAAACTGGAGCAAAAGCTGTATAAAACAATAGCATTGGCTTAATGTAAGTATAATTGAACTAGATAAAGGTTTGAATGATTTGTCATGGTATATTGTTGTTATATATAGTGATGTATCAGAAGTGTGTTGAGAGCCACTGTAAGTTGTGTTTGTTGGAAGACATATCAGATATATAACACATGGTTTCTTTTTGTACTACAGGCAAAACCTGAAAAAATCTGATTTAGTAAGCTATTAATAGTGCAAGTACTTAGAAAGATAAGAGAGGTCTGTAGTTTTTATGGGTACACTTCATCTATGAAAGAAAAAATGGAACAAAAACAAAATCAATAGAATCAAATTCTAGGATTTCTAAAAAAAATTATTTTGTAAATTATGATGGGAAAAAATATTTGGTTAGTAAAAGTTCAAGTCAACGCTTTTTATCATTGACTCCTGATTCTGAACATTTTCTTTATTCTGAGAAGTTTCAAAACTCTTAACACAAACTTTTAGAAATTGGGCAAATATGCAGCTTATATATTTTCAAATAATCCAGATTGTGTGGATATTTCATAATGTATTCCTTGTCCTGAACAGAATTCAGGAAAAAAAGACTCCTGAAAAGAGTTTCAACTGTTGTGATGTTTTTAAACCTATCCAATTCAGATCAAATTCATGGGGCTGAAATAAGTCCTGATTGTGTCTCTTTCTTCAGGTCTGATTTCTAAATAAAAAATCCTTACTTCACTTTGTAACACCAAGTGATATTTTCATCATTTCTAAATTCAAAGGCTACTTAACTCATGAAATGATCTGGTTTGGTGTCAAGTTGTGAAAGGCTACTTTACAAGGAACCCGTTTCATATCAGATCTTTATAAAAACATAAAGATGATAACTCAATAGAGAAAACAACCATGAGAAGACATTTATTTACCACTTGCTCTGTCTTGACAACATATAAACACATAACAATTCGTTTTGTGCCCATAGGTACAGTATTGGGGCAAAATTTGCTCCACAAGTCATATCATATTCCCTTCTTTGCATAACAGTTTATAGTCAGTAGAAACAATAATCCTAATATAACTGACAAAGAAAACAGTCCATGACAATTATATAAAAAAAACACCACAAAAAAGTCAAAGAAACAAAAATAACATTGAAAGAGTCAACAGCTTCCATGTAACCATTGCATCACACGCCCTGCCCCCACTAGTACCCCATCTACTGTACAACTCACTTCAGATCTCAGGTAAGTCCAGGATCAAAATGCCCATCACTTAGCTGCTCATATACTGAAAATGAACAGTTCCAAAAATCTGTCTGAAAGGCACCCCATGAACCAGGACCAGTGCACCCATTAGGCTACAGTGCAGTTGTCTTTCCAATATAGACCCCAACATCTGTAGAGGAAGCCACCAACATTAGTCAAATTCCCAACATCCAGCCTCAGAGCAACCAGAGTGTACAGTGCACAAAACTAGCGAGTTCATGACCCTAATACCACCCCCCCAGAGGCAATGCAGAGGAAAATATTAGCACTCAATAAGTTACCTTGAAAATGATGTGGTGCCTCATCACTGAAAGTAATAAACAGACTCACCGTTTCAATAGAGCACTCAGAAAGCCTTCCAAAAAGTCCAGACATGTAGGAATGCCCCAAGGTTCCATGGGCCGTTGAAGGGAGTTTTGCCCATTTTGCACTGTCCCTCTGAAACCGTTCAACAGTAGGGCTCGGCACGGTTCAGATGTGGCTCGGTTCTGATAACAAAGAGCGCATGAGCAGATCGCATCATCTATTTAGAGTCAGATCAATCATGCAATGCACAGATCTCTTCACCTGTTCATGACACGAACTTGTTCTCAGGTGATTAACAATAAATGGCATCAGAACAGCGTGGTGCAACCTGGGATAATTCTGAGGATGCTATCCAGGCACATAAGTTCCTGAATGTTATGGGTGCCGCCATTTTTGTTTGCGTAATTTCCATCTTGAGAGCTGTAGTATTGTGGACAGCCAACAATAGGCGAGCAACTGTGCTAGTGTGATGTGTAAATGGTTGTAAGTTCTGCACGGTTAACTGATCCAAGCCCGGTCCGAACTCAACATGAATCAGTCTCAGAGGGCTAGTGTAAATCGGGCATAGGCCTGATAGATTTAACGCGGTTCAGATGTGTCTGGCATGGTCCAGTTCAGTTGCATTCCATTTACACTCAACAGTTATCTCGGTTAGCGTGAATGGAGCTTTGAATTTGGGACCCTTCTTCCTGTTCAGGATATTTCTCTCAAATAATTGTTTGCTGAGAATCTTTTGTGAACAAACCGAACACAAACACAACAAAAATATTTCGTTGCACATCCAACTAGCAAACATTGATGATAATAAAGAAACCCTGCCAATTCATTTATTCAAATTGAATGTTGACAGTTTAAAATCTTTGATTTATCTCTGCTAATATTGTATAAAATTCTGATTCTCAATAAATGAAATATAAAAAAGAAAAAGATCTGGTCTATGCTAAAATACAAACATTTATGGACTACCCTTGATGATTTGAAGTAAGCAGCAGCTTAGTTGGTACTAAGACGCTCTGCCCACACGATGCCAAGAAAACAAATACCCCCATCCAGGGGGGGATTTACCATTAGGCAATACTAGGCAGTTGCCTATGGCCCCAAGTTCCTGGGGGCCCCATAAAATATATATTTTTAATATATATTTGTGCACATTAACTATGTTTTTGATGAAACTATAATATTAAGTGTGTCTCTGCCCCCCTTCAGTGTCCACCACATTGGATCAGTCAATTTGCTGCAAATGTTCAGAAAGCTCCAAACAGACAGCAGCAAACCAGTTGAAAACAAACAATGCGCAGTGTTGTCAACTTAGTGCTTTTGTTGCTATATTTAGCAACTTTTCAGACCCCTCTAGTTCATTTATTCCAGAAAAACACCTAGTGCCAAATCTAGCGACTTTTTTTTGTTAGTGGAGACTTTGGCGACAACATATAAAAGCAGCGAACTCTGCTCTCCAGAGCAAGTAGATTGGTAACCCCGCCTCCTGCTCTCCTCTATCTTGTCTGCTGTCATGATTCATGCAGCTATTATTTCATCCAAATGAAAAATAGAGAACAGATAAGCAGATCATGGCTTGTCTACAGTGAAAAAAAGGACTGTTATTTACTTTTGCCGTCGGCTCTTTGGAAATGCATGAAGGCGCAATCGGCGCAATGAGCTTAGTGATTGGAAAAAAATCTTCCATTCCTTTTGAGACAGTATGAAAAGTCAGATGAGTACAAAACACAGAGAGGAAAACAACAAGAAAAGGGACAAGAAGAGAGGGACAAACCTAGAACAAATAATGGATGTCTATTCTATTAACATCTCTGTATCTCTATAATGGGTCAATTCAGAGGGCCCCATGCCTGTTTTTGCCTAGGGCCCCAAATTTCCTAAACCCGCCCCTGCCCCCATCCAAAGTAATTCAACTCATACTGTAGTTAATTAGATCATCTAAACGCAAGAACCACATCAACCTGACCCAAGAGGGAAAACTAAAAAAAACTGTAAATGTCCAGCCACAGTGTGATAACAAAACGCAATCACCTCAGCTTAGAATTTTTATATTTAATATCTTTCATTATTCATGAATTATAATACCTGTTACGAACAAAAACTGCATCCTGAAATGTTTGTTTAATGATGTGAACTTAAAAAATATAAAAAAAATCTAAATATATTTATATATAGTCAAAATACATTGGATTAATCATGTAATTCTGCAGAAAAAAACTCTTATAGGCAAACAACAAATGATACAGAAATTTGTTTTAGTTTCCCTTTCTTCCAACCTGTCCATCCCTCTTTCAACCCCTCTTCTCTTTCACTTAACACATGTCAATAGAGCACCTGTCATCTGGTGGGATCGAGTTACATAGAGACCTGTATAATACAACCACCTCAGCTCAAAACACAGCTATATTCCATCCTGCAAT